GTCCAAGGAGCAGGAGGAGTATTAGTTTCCCCGGAGACTATTAATAAGGCAGATAAAGTAAATGGAAGGAGGAAGAGAACCGCAGCTGGAGCAAGCTAGCAGGCAGATTCTGTCCTGTCCCGGCAGAATATGAGGCCAGGTGTCACGTGACATGCCCGTCTTCCTACCTGAAACATGAACATGGCCAGCTTCTCGTTGTAGTCCCACTGCCGGATTGCCACCTCCACGTCATGGGGCAAGGGCCCTATAGTGGACCCACAGCCCCCACTGCCTGCAGGCCCTGGCCGGTAGTACTCGGCCATCTTTTGCAGCTGCTCCCATAAGTATTTGGTGATGATCTGAGTCCATTCTAGGAGAAAGGTGGAGAGAGGGTTATTTCACACCGTCCCTCTGCTTAGAACATCTTCTGTCCCCGCCCCACGCCCACACCCCCAGTCACCATACTTCTAAATCCTATTCATCCTCTCAGGCTCTGGTCCAATGCCACCTGCTCAAAGCCTTCCCGGGTGTCCCCCAAAGAAAGTAATCCTTCTGTCCACTGAAGTCTCAGAAAACCTTTCACCTTCTCTTGAGACACACACACACACACACACGCATGCATACACATACTTTCTCTAATTATGTGATTCGTACATATGCCTTAGCATCCCTACCAGATTACAAGCATCCTAAGGGTGGGAATAAGGGACCAGTCCCCTTGACAGCCCAGTACATGCACACAGTAGATACTCAAGACACTCAACGTTTACCAACGGAGTGAATGCAAGACACATGCAGAAGCAAGGAATACAGACGAGGAAGGAGAATAAGTCCAAGGGTCTCTCTGTCATCACTCCTTGATGCGATCAGTGGTGGGACCCGTGGTATTAGGAGTTACTCACCCATGAAGGGGTCAATGACATGTCTCTTCTTCACCTTGGTCTCACTGATTGCTGCGTAGTAGGCACAGGTCATCTTAATGAGCCAGGCGGCCCGCATCACAGGCACTGTGTACTTGGCTAAGTACCCAAACACTTCTTCCTTTTTACTGAAAATGGGGACCTGGACGGACATCACAAATAATGAGACCTCTATCACCCCTACAAGCTGGCACCCACGTAGCTTAATCTGGGAATAGGAGAGTACTTCACACCCACGCTCCCCACCTTGGCCTGGAGACCAGGAACAAGCACCTCACCTTTTTGGCTAGTTGCGTGAGTGGCTTGGTGCCAGCCAGGTCAGTGAACCAGGTGTTAATGGCACTCTGGGATCGTGCAGTCACCAGCCAGAAGTTGTCCTTCTGGTTCACTTGGGGCTTTCTGCGACCAGTGTCAGGGAGGGTGTTACAACGTAACTTCTCTGCAATAATGCTGCTGAAGTTGGAACTGATCTGAGGGAAGGAAAGTACACCTTAGAAAGGGAAGAAGAGGCAGAGAGGTGGTCATGCCTCTGATCACTAATACCAATGTGGTAGCATTAGGTTATGAGGGAAAACTCAGCCATTCAGGTTGTCCCTTTAGGTCTTCCCAACCCAGGGCCTTTGCTCATTCTCAGATTCTTCCAGGCTTTTCCTTCAGCCTGGCAGGGTTATCTCACCTTGGCAGGATTGAAGTTGACGTTCTTGGCACTGCCATGTTCATCCCCAGAGACAGCAGGCTGGTTATTGAAACCTTGTTTTACATTCAAGGCCGTCAGTTCATCCTGAGGCAGGAAAACGATATTTTAGCTTTTTTCCCCTCCCCTGGGGGTGGTGGTGGTGGGGGAGGAGGGCAGGAGAAGAGAAGGGAACAAACGGGGGGGGGGGAGGTAGGAGGAGGATTCTGAGTAGAACAGATTGTTATTTAAAGCTAGGCCCTTATATTCATTTGGACCCCACCCTCACCCCCACAGTCACTAAGATTTCCAATCAGTCAGCGCTCGCTCAACATCACTCTTCCTTGCAAGCTTGCAAGCAGCCGTAGCTCACCGAGCTGCCTCAGACAACTTTCTGAGGTGTGTGTGTGTGTGTGTGTGTGTGTGTGAGGAGGGGGGGCGCCTCCAGCGTAGCCCCTACATCATTCCCTATTCACACCCGGGAGCCCCCCCCTCCAGGTCCCACTCTCGCACACCAGCCCACTTTACTCTTACCCCTTTTGGGACTTTGGCTCCCACCAAACCGCCCCGCCCCCCCTCACCAAACCATCAATGCTTCCTCCTCTGCCGACCGCTTGCCTCAGGCCCCCTGGGAGCCCGGATTTTTGAACGCACCTCCTTCTGTTTGGGATCTTGAGGGTACACATCGGGAGGGCCCAGCCGCGGCCGCTTCAGGGGCCGGTGTTCGTAGCTCAAGATCCCGAAGGCCGCCATCTTGCCCAGCCCGTAGCGCCAGAGGCGCCAGCCGGGGCCGGCTGACGGGGGGAGGGGGAGAGGGAACCGACAAGGGGGGCGGTGGTTCCGAGGACGGCAGCCGAGAGACAACAAGGGGCACGTTAGAAACTCTCGATCGTTGCCGGAAACTACCGAGGGGAACCGAGGGACGCCGGGAACCGTCGGACAATACCGACCGCAGCGGGGGCGGGGCCCAGCCCGGCGTGGGGCGGAGCTCCGCGGCCGCGGAGCTTTCGGGCCCGCGCGGCTGAAGATGGATTTCACTCCCCAAGTATCTGCGAAACGTCCTCGAGCAGTCCGGTGTGCCTGGGGGGTGGGGGGCGGGGCGCGGGAGGCAGCCGCGAAGCCGAGCTCTAAGCTGAAACCGGGTCCCCAGTGCCTCGCTCGGTTCTCGGCCTGGAATCGGTGCTCAAGGGTATTTGCCTCGGTTAGGAACTCTGCCTTTCACCCTAAACCACTTCTTCCTTTCTGAGTTTCTGCATCTGAAAAATGGGTGTACTGTTACCTCCTTCAAAGGGCTGTTGTGAAGATTAGAAACTGTCTGCATAAGAAAGCACCTATTAAACCCCTGAAAGGCCAGTTCTAATCCCTCAAGGTCTTTATGGTCTGGCCCTGAGGTTCTTAGCCTTTTATGATTCGCAGCCCCTTTAAGATGCTGATGGGCGCTATGGGCCTTCCCAGGAAAGTTACAGAGGGAAACGAAATGTTACATACTTTCCAGGGAAATTCTTAGAGCCCCTAAATGTCAACAATGTATCCCCTAAGTGTTCGTGAACTCCAGCTTGAGAAAGAGGCACCTACTGTGTCAGATGCTTTCCAGACATCATCTCCTTTAACCTGCAAACAGCCCCATGAGTTCGAGATGATAATTGTCTCCATTTTGTGGATGAGCAAGCTGATTTTCAAAGAGTGAAAGTTCACTTACTTGCCCGATGTCATTCAGGTACTGAGAAACAGAGCTGAGGTTAAGATTTTTTTCTGGACTCTTGGGCCTTTCTGTGATGGCAGATTGCTCTTCAGAGAAAAGATGGAGTGCTATAATAAGAGTAACAGATAACAATAAATAAAAAAACTGATAAAATTAGCAAATAGCAAAAATAACACTAACAAAATGCTATTGAATCACAATGGGAAGACAAATTAATTCTGACTGGGGTGAGGAAAAGATATCGGAGGAGGTAACATTTGAGCTAGCCCTAAGAAATTGTAACCCACAGAACATTAGGGTGGGTTAGAACGTAAGCACAGCGCCTGGCACATATTTAAGGCTCAATAAATGTTTGCTGAATAAACAATTTCTACAAAGTGTCTCCAATCAGCTCTGTGTTTGGGGGAAGACAAATCTGGCAATAAGATGACGAATGTAGGTTAGAGAGCCCGGGCCTTCAGAAAGGAAGGTCAGGGGCACCTGGGTGGCTCAGTCGGTTAAGCGTCTGCCTTCGGCTCAGGTCTGGATCTCAGGGTCCTGGGATCGGGCCCTGAGTTGGGCTCCCTGCTCAGCGGGGAGTCTTCTTCTCCCTCTGCCCATTTCCCCCTCCCCCCTCCTGCCCACTCTTGCTCTCCCTCTCTCTCAAATAAATAAATAAAATATTTGAAAGAGAGGGAGAAAGAAAGAAGGAAAGAAAGTGAGGCCAGGGGACACCTGGGTGGCTCAGTCAGTTAAGCATCTGATTCTTGATTTTGGCTCAGGTCATGATCTCAGGGTCCTGAGATCGAGCCACGCGTGGGGCTCTGTGCCGGGGGTAGAGCCTGCTTAAAATTCTCTCTCCGCAGCCCCCATCTCTTAAAGAAAGAAAGAAAGAAGAAAAGAAAGTAAAGAAAGAAAGGGAGGCCAGTTAGTGGGTTCGAGGAATAATCATGACTAGAGGGAATGAAAGGCTGATTTAGCACAGTGGCTGTGCTCGTGGAAAGGAGGACACTGCTGAGAGAAACACCACAGACGTAGAGCTGATTGGATTCTCAGGAATGAGAGAGAGGGAGGAATTGATGATGACTTTGAGGTTTCAAGTCTGGGTGACTGAGAGGGTGGTGATACATTAACTGAGATAGGGAACACAGGAAGAGAAGCAGATTTAGGGGAAGACGAGGAGTTTGAAGCCAGTATTGTTGTTCCTCCGTTTCCAGAATCTACTTCTAAGTCAGACCTCCTAACCAGTCTCAACAGGGACCCAGCTCAGGCAGCAGCTAAGGGTGGATGGATATTCTGGTTTGGATTAGGTCAGAAGGAAGACAGCTATATGTGTGCCCACAGGCGTCAAGACTGTACTTTCCACCCAAGAGAGTAGGGCTTTGACAGAGGTTTCAGGGTGACTGAGCCCAGGAAGGAGCATAGCGCAGGATGGGGAGGGAGGTCCAGACCCTCCACTCCACAGGATAAAATGACTTAGATGAGAAGGTGGGTGGTTGGGAGTGGTGGCAGCAGCGAACAGACCCTTCCCAGGATCCGGGTGGCCTGAAGATTCTTGAGTCTGTGACAGTATCGTGTGCCCAGCCTCGGTCTCCACTTAACAGCACTTTACCGTGGTGGTAATACACCTACAGATTAGATTAACACTTAATCTCCCGGAGGATTTAGCCTGTGTCATAGCACACATTTGCCACACCCTCTGTAAAGCCCTGGCTTCGAAGGTTCTTTCCACCGGAAGCTATGACAGGAGGAAATGTGTGGGTGGGGAGGGGTAATGGGTGAGGGGCCCAGGTTCCTGACAGTCTACACCCAGGGAACGAAGAGCAAGCGCCATGTTGAAGCCACCATTGCCACTCAGATCCCTCTTATTCCTGCAGCTGCCTCTGCTGGGGGTGGGGCTGAACTTGACGGGCCCCATGCCCAATGGGAATGAAGACATCACAGCTGGTGGGAAACGTGGGACTGAAGGGGGTTGGTGAGAGGGGAGCCTGTGGGAAGGGGCCGTACAGAAATCTCGAACCTGCCATGGGGCATTAGAAGGATGCGGGCAGAACTGAAGAGTACTGTGGAGAAGGGAAAGGGGAAGGGTTCTCTGCCCCTTGCCGCTGCTTCTTCTGACCATCATTTCTGGTCTTCCCCTCCCCCCCTTCGTCCTCTCTCCAACCTAGATTTCTTCCTGACCGCTACACCCCCTGGGACCCTCAGCGTTTCCACCCTGCCCCTCCCAGAGGTCCAGTGTTTTGTGTTCAATGTTGAGTACATGAATTGCACTTGGAACAGCAGCTCTGAGCCCCAGCCCACCAACCTGACTCTGCACTACTGGTATGAAAAAGGAAGAGGGGACAGCACAAGGGAGTAAGAAGGGGGTGGGCTGGACCAAGAAAGAGGGTAAGCCAGCGTCCGAGCCTCCCCACCATTTTCTCATGGGGTAAGTCAGTTCAGAGGAGATGGGGCTGGGCTGTGGTATCTGGAGTACCCAAGTTTATGCCACCGTTCTTCTTCCTCCCAACCCTTCTCCAGGTACAAGAAGTCCAGTGATGATAAAGTCCAGGAGTGTGGCCACTATCTGTTCTCCGGAGAGACCACTGCGGGCTGTTGGCTGCAAAAGGAGGAGATCCATCTCTACGAAACATTTGTTGTCCAGCTCCAGGACCCACGGGAGCCCAGGAGGCAGTCCATACAGACGCTAAAACTGCAGAATCTGGGTAATTTGGAAAGGGCGCCAAGAGTCCTGGAATATATTGTGGGGCACTGGAGTATAGGGAGTGGTGTTCTTTCACCTTGAGGGTACTTAGGCAGGAAGGAGGAGGTGAGGGATCGGGATCGGGATCGGGAGGGGCGGAGGGATTAGGGGCGCTACCTTCAGGATCCTAACTCATCTAGGCCAGGGCAATGACCACACACACACACACACACACACACAAACACACATATCTCCAGTGATCCCCTGGGCTCCGGAGAACCTGACCCTTCGCAACCTGAGCGAATCGCAGCTAGAACTGAGCTGGAGCAACAGACACTTGGACCACTGTTTGGAGCACCTTGTGCAGTACCGGAGTGACTGGGACCGCAGCTGGACTGTGAGTGACCGGGGTCATGAATGTAGCAGCTCTAAGGCCAAGCAAATGGGGATAGACGATTCAGTCAGCCAAGTAGGAGGGCCTGATCTCAAGCTCCTGTTCTCTGCCTCCTGGTTCCTCTGCTCTGTCTCTCCCCTCATCCAGCTCCTTTGCCTATAATGACCAGTGGACTTTCCATTAACGTTTTCCTACCCGCACTCTTCCCAATACCTGATAGGCAAGTAAACAAAAGGGAGCCTTCCAGGGGATCTGGCGAGGAGGCATGAGATTCTAGTCGGTGAAGGGAGCAGGGTGGCTTGAGTAGTCAAGAGAGGAGGGAAGAGCTGGGAAGGACTGGATGATGTGGGGGGGGAGGGGCTGCGGTTTTAATTCTCCCTTCTTTTTTAGACACCCATCTCTCCCTCACTCTCTTTCTCCCCAAGGAACAATCAGTGGACCACCGAAATAGCTTCTCTCTGCCTAGCGTGGATGGGCAGAAAGTCTACACATTCCGTGTCCGGAGCCGCTATAACCCACTCTGTGGAAGCGCTCAGCGCTGGAGTGAATGGAGCCGCCCTATCCACTGGGGCAGCAATACTTCCAAGGGTAAAATGGGCCTAAGGCCTCACCGTGACCCATGAGCCCGGCACCCCAACCCTTTCGAGCATCACTCTCTTTTGCTCTACCTCTCGACCCCTAAGCCCCCCAAACTTGGTGGCCCATCTCCCCTCACTGTTCAACCTCAACCCCCAGGTTGCAGGGCTTTTCTGTGTAGGGTTGGCTCAGTATGTTGTTAGAGTGGGGGGGGTGGTCGAGAAGGAGGCGGAGGGGAGATAGAATGTTTAAGATTCCCCTACAGCATTTCCAGAAAGCCTGCATGGCAAAGATAGCTTTGGAAGCAGACCGATGTGGGGTTTTAAACCTGGCTCTGCTGCTTACTCCCCCCCCTCTTTGACCTCGGGCACATCGCTAACCTCTTTGATTCTGTTTCCTC